ATTGAGTTAATGATTTGTGAGTCAGAGGAATTCCAGAATCATGTTTTAGATATTCAAGATAACTGCTTCAAATGCTTGTTGTGCTTCTTGCATTGTTCTCTTGTGATCAGTTGTGCTGACTGCAAGATAATATGTCTCAAAAATTCACACTTGATATTCATTAATGACTTTGACTAACTTCAGTATCATGAATTTTGACATTAGATCTTATGACTTAATTTAAAATTGACTCACAAAGTTGACTTCTGCTTCAGAGTTCACTAAGATGAACATATCTTTGGTGTTCTTGGAAGTTTTGATCTGAATCATAATGAGAAATGAAAGTGGGCTGGCATGTCACAATTTGTGAAGATTGAGAGCTACTGTGATGTTGATAGCTCTCTTCATTCATTTTTTGACACTTTGTCTGTAGATTCTTTTGAATTTGTCTCCAGCTTTTTTCTGAGAAAGTATTCTTCAGTAAAGTGTTCTGATCTTTTGTGAAGATTGCATCATAATTTATCACTTGTGGTCTTGCACTTATGAGAGTTGAGTTTTTCTTCTTTTTGCAGTTTTTTTGAGAAACTCTTTATACTTTTCTTAAGTTTCTCTGCATGCTTTTTGATATTATCTTCACAGGTGGCCAGTCATGTAACAAGTTCTTTATAGAACAAGTTGCCAATGGTGACAGCATGTTTGTCAAATTCAGATCTGATTTCTGAAAGAATTTTGCAAATAAAATGTGTCTTGCACTGTTTCTCTGTGTATTTGTATGAGAGTTGCTGTTTGAATGACTTGAGAGTGCTGCTGAAGTCATGAATGAATTGATTATCTTACTATTTCAGCTTGAGATATTTATGCTTGATGTTCTGAGAGACTCTTTCAGAGTTCATGATCTGTTATGAGAGCCAATTGCTGAATTCAGTTCATGAGAGTAGAATGATTAGAGCAGTGATGTGATGATTCTACTTGATGAGAAGCTTGATTTCAAAATATTGTACTGCTTCAAGCATCTTGTGATTATCATGACTTTTAAAGTATGCTGCTTGATATGTGTGAAATACTGTGTATTAATCTAGAAATTTCTCAAGTTTTTTGAGATTTTTGACTGCAAACTTTTTATCATTCTTGTGTGTTGGAGCCCTGCCTGCATTCACTGTGCTTAGTAATTGTAATCATGAGGCTTCATCTGTTTCAGTCTGGATGTTTAAGTGACTTTCTGAAAATGTGATCATCTGAGTGATGACTTCTTGTGAAGATTCATTTAAATTTTGCACATGTAGTGTTCTTTCCAGTCTTGATTGATGTGGGGTGAAGATTGAAACTGTGTAGTGAGAGAAGTCCTCCATTGAAGTGATTCTTCTTTTTATAATTACATGCATTGCATTGATTTTCTGTTGCAGATCTTGAATATGTTTTTTCTGTTGCAGGACTTGTAGTTCTTTACTTAATTTTACAAGTAAGACTTCATCTTGGTCATTGTTCTCAGTATCTGACAGATTGTTTGCAGAGATGGTGAGAGTGTGGCTTGTGCATGTTTCAGTGTCTTGAGGTGCATTCTGCTGTTCAGATGGAGAAGAATCAGTGTGAGTGCTGAGCTCAGCTGTTTGCAGTATGATTTTAATTTCATCCATCCTCATGAGAGATTGTGTGGATGGCTCTGACTGTTCAGAAGTTTTCTGATGTTTCAGTAGTGTTGAGAGATCAGATATTAAGTGAGTGCCTTTAGAAGTCTTTTCACAGATTCATCTGCTCATCTTGTTAATAGAGGATGTTTTGCATCATTTCTTTTAATGAAAAGTCATACATTATGTTGATGTTTGATGCAAGTGCTGATAGCAGTCTGTCTGATAGACTGTCTCTCATGATGAGAGAAAGTGATGAGAACTGTGAGAAGCTAGGTCTAATGGATATATAATCAGAACAGAAGTGAGCTACTAGTGTAGAGAATATAAAGAAATATGTGGTGGAAGCAAGTATATAGTATATACTATAAGTAGATAGAGCTCATCACTGACCCATGTAAAGATGGAGGTAGTGTTGAGGAATTATATACAAGTGAGGTGTGTGCTACTAAGATCTAAAGAGTCTAGTGTTAGAACCTGGCATGACACTTATATAAGATGGTATAATGTTTTCTGAGTTACTTAATCTAATAATTAATGCAGAACAGTTATTTCTTCATAATAATAAAATATGAAGACATTTAATATTTGTGATATTAATATATTAGTAATTATTTACATGTCATAAATACTCTGATAGAGTATTGAACAGTTTAACTAACTGGTGAGAAAGCATTGCAGCTGTTGTGATGATGATTCAATAAATCAAATCAGATTTAGTGTGACTTGAACAAATGTCAACCAACACCTGCAAGAATGGCTGTACTGCATAATTTTATAGCAACATATAGAACAACTGAAGCATCTAACTCAAGCAATATTAATAGAAGAAATTATTTACATGTTATAGATCACTCTGATAGACTATAAAAGATTTTAAAGAAATGATGAGAGAGTATTGCAGTCATTCTGATGATGATTCAATAAATTAAATCAGATTTAGCATGACTTGAGTAAATGTCAATCAACATCTGTGAGAATGACTGTACTGCATAACTTTGTAGCAACACACAGAATCACTGAGGTATTTAACTCAAGCAATATTAATAGAAGAAATTATTTACATGTTGTAAATTACTCTGATAGAATATGAAAGACTTTAAAGAGATGATGAGAGAGCATTGCAGCTGTTGTGATGATGATTCAATAAATTAAATTAAGTTTAGCATGACTTGAGCAAATGTTAATCAACATCTGTAAGAATGACTGTACTGCATAACTTTATAGCAACACACAGAACAACTGAGACATCCAACTCAAGTAATATTAGTAGAAGAAATTATTTACATGTTATAAATTACTCTGATAGAATATGAAAGATTTTGAAGAGATGGTGAGGGAGCATTCAGAATTTTTTGATGATAGTCTGATAAATTGAATTGAAATTAGCACAAGATGACACTAACCCCAATTCAATTTATCAGATCATCCAGCCAATGGACACCACAACACTTCAAAATTCAATATTAATTCAACAAAAATAGATAAAAATAATTGGAAAGAAGTTTTAGAATTCTCAAAATCAGCTCTATCTACTGTTAAAAAGAATTATGCAAATATCTCAATTTTTGGGTGGGTCCAACACCATGTTTTTATTATATAGATTTTTCCTTATCTAAGAACCTGTAAGAACATTGAATGCATCTTTGACCATCTTTGCGGCCGTATCTGGAAATTGTTGTGGTGCCGCTTTGGCGCTGTTGACTGTATTGTGGCGGTATCACTCACGGACCAGTCAGCCAGACCCGGCTAGCATCTCAGGCTGCTTTAACCAGCTGTGGCTTGGCAGGGAATTCCCTTTGGGCCTCAAGCATCATCAATCACCCTGGCTCACCCAGCTCACCCACCTTGCTCACCCATACATTATTGATCAAGCAACCCCATGGTGGGCTCAATGGGTGACTGCCAGGGCCCTGGCCTTGCGAAAATGAATCAGATATCCACACTACTGGGGGGCCAGAGCTCCCCCAGTTCTGTTCTATGCTTCATGACTTAGCATGGAGCCGCCAGCCTATTTTTTTCTCCTTTCCACTTCCCTCTCAAAAAGGTGGCCCTTCGCTCGGAGGTGTTTATAATGGGGACCATACCCTCTCACTGTCCCTTTTTCCCCCCTCCATCCTAGTCCACACCAGGAGATCTCATCCTCTTCTAGCCTTCTCTCCACAGCCACCACTCACTTTGGCTGGCAACCAGTCGAGCTGTACTCCTTCCAAGTAAGACGCTGCACACATGGCGGTTACCAAAACGCGAGCGGGGGTAGCAGCCGCCCGCCCTTCCACGACCCGACGCCTCAGGCTGGCGCCCACGGAAACAGACTTCATCCAGAGGGCCAAGGAGCACGAGTCCGCTGGCCGGACTAAAAAGCACAGCGCGAATAACACCAAGAGAGGCTTGCTGACTGTCTGGAGAAAGTTAGAGATGTGAGGATCGCCTTTTGGCTTTCATTCTGAAACGGAAAAATCATTTGCTAATATACAATGGCCAGCTTCTGTCCAGAAAAGCTTCAGACCAGCCCCCATCAATTCATCAGAGACTTCAGCGCCCACAGATTCAAAACTTTTCTCAACTGGCTCGAGGAAACCCACAAGCTCCGGATCAAATCTGATAGCACAATCTGGGGTTACTGGCGTCGAATTAAGTCCTTCTATGAAGCCAAGCATAACAGTAACAAGATAGATGAAGAGACAAGGACGGACTGTATTAATGTATGATTCACCAGCCTGATTATGTGTGCGGTTTGCTGACGATGGCAGTACATATGGGTTGTGGTCAACAGGTGGGAAGAGAAATGGGGACTCCGGCGGCATTCCCGCGACCCTGTGACTGGCAACAAAGACGATATCTACCTGTTTCTGTGTGCCAACTGGGAGTGGTGCACGATGGTGCATGCGGACGAGAGACAGCGGGTGCAGAACAGAGCAGGGTTACTCCTCTCCTACATTTCTGGCAGCCGGTTGGTCTCCCTATTCGATACCCCCGCGAGGGGGAAACCACCTCCGGGGGGGGAACCGTGGTTCGAGGAGCGTGGAGCGAACGCAATGTCCCCTTTGCCCCAGCCACTCTCACCCGATAAACCAACGGTTGTACGGTCGAGAGTGCGATCCTGGCTGGCAGATTGTGATGATTCCACAAACAGCGCCTCGGATATTGCTTCCAAGGAAGATCTGACCGACGACGAGCAAGACATGTCCATTACTGAGAGCAATGTCAAGAGCGTAGTCTTCAGCCAGGAGTCAGGGTCAGATACACAGAGCAGCTACTCAGAGGTGATGCAGCTTGATGACGTGTGCAAAGCCACTGGTAGCGAGTGTGACCTTGACGATGAACGTTGGGATGGATATGACTTTAACCCAGCCGATCTCATCAGGGATGATGAATCTGTTGTCACCGATGATGGGTACCATGCAGGAGACAAAAAAAAGGACCCCTTCTCTGGCGGCATATTCACTTCTACATCGTCCGTGGTGAAGGGCCAGGACAGCCTAATTCATTGCTGGCGCATGTGAACCTGATAAATACGAAAATGGAGGACAAAAAGCCACGAACGTATGTGTCCCTATTCCGATCATAGAACTATGCGGAGGCTGATGTGCATCACAGGAAGGCCTTTGTCATTGCGCACCACCCGGAGCCAATATTTGACCTCCTTGCACATCTCGTTGCCATGGCCTTCTATGATGAAGCATTGGACGCAGAGTCCACCTCACTCGAGGATATCTACTGGCATCCGATCCCATCGCACTGCCATGGCATGGCGGTCAAGATCAAAGGCGACAAGTTGGATATTCCTGTCTTCCGTGAACCTGAAAAGACTAAAGACGGCTATCGTACTTCTAAGACAGAACCGCTCAAAGGCACAACATGGCATCAGTTCCTAAAGCATGCTGCACTCATCTTAGAACTGGCAATCTGTTTCAGCCACTATGTCTTGAGACGGACTCTTCTCAACACCGTAAACAGTACGCAAGCTTCCCCCCATGACATTTGATTGCACATAACTCACCAGCTCTCCCTCTACAGATAAAATCCCCGCATCGGTGCGAGACCAGATTGCTGATCATGACTCGAACACTATTCGGTACTACCTCAACGATGTTGTGCAGGAAGACATTGAGGCCATTGTGATGGACCTAGATATACCGTCCAGGGCAAGAGTGCAAGCGTTGGCACGCTCCCTCAGGCTTAATGCTGACTCTGCGGCGCCCACTCGACCCACCAACAAGCAAATCCAGCGGATAGCAGCGCATCCAAAGGTGCAAAGCCTCTCGCAGAGGAACCAGGAGTTGTCCGCCGAGATCCGAGCAGCAGGCTTCCCATCGATTCAGGCAGCGGCAGGGACAGCTCTCTACCGAGAGAAGATGAAAGTTCAGAGCAAACTAAACAGCGCGAAAATTTATCTCTGGAACCATTACCGGGAGAAGAATAGAAAGTGGCATTTTCGCCATGCAGATACAGAACGGTTCAACCGCCGGATCCAAGGCCGTCAGGAGCCCGATGAACTTACACCTCGCCCCCCTCCGATATTGCAGATCCCCGAGCGACAACAGGTTGTGGAAATCGCTTGCAGGCCCCAATCCGGCTTGACTCCTGATGATATCTTCCGGCGGCGATGCGCCTTCATCATGGTGCTGGTCCGCCTTCAAAGCCGGAAAGAATCTGGTCCCCGGGGTCGGCATGCACGCCGAACGCCATCTGAGCAGCGTGCCCAGCGGTCGCTAACCCCCGAGGAACCGTTCATTGTTCCCCAAACCCTGCAAGACCACGAATGTCCATTCTGCATATGTGATACTTCACTTCCCACAAAGCAAAGAAAGAAGAAATGGACGAACAACAACACCTTCTGGGATCATGTTGAGAAGAACATTCACCGCGCTGAACTTGAGGGATACGCATCCGGGCAAAAGAGGTGTGGCATCTGCCGAGAACAGGGCGTGGAGTGCTTTCCTGAGGGTATCATGGCATTTAAAGCCCACACGTTCTGGGAGCATGGCAGGAAGCTGCGAGAGTAGTGGGGAAGAATTTGTTCGTCTGACTTTTTCCAGGTTGTGGCGACTCTTTCTAGGCTTGTGAGCGCCAAAATTACCAGAGAATGATGGTTGGCTTGAGGTTATTTGCACATGTATATTATACCAGACACGCGGTACTTTCCAAACACTGTGCTCCTGAAAAAGATGGCTTCATTAGATCACTAATTTTTGAATAAGCAAGTCCACCAAATTTTCATCCACTGTAATGCTGTCTGTGGCTCCTCTGCGCTATGTCATAGAAACTGCATCTTCCCAGCGGTCGACGTGATATGATCTCGATGCCTCTCACCCCCAAGCACAATACATCACATCTAGGCTAGACAAGCAAAAATTGATGGATGCGAAGATTCTGGTTCCTATCCTAAGGTGTTCCCTGGAAGAGTTGAAATCTCCCCGGCAGGAAAAGAAAGTGGTCCTAGTGGACGGATTTCCGCGAAACTTGTCGCAGCAGACGGAGTTCGAAGACGCAGTACGTAATATCCTTGCATGGCACAGAGGTGGGATGTATTTAACATAAGCAATGCGTAGGTCGCCGAGCCACTGCTTGTGCTTCTATTTGACTGCCCAAAACATATTGCGAAGCAGCGTTACCTCGCCCGCAATTTAAAGGGACGAGAGGCAGACGACGGGGCCATGTTTGAGAGAAGATATGATGAATATATGCAAGAGAATAAGAATTTTGTCAGTGTCTATCGGCAGAGAGGAATTCTTGTGGATGTTGATACCAGCGTGGAGCAGGAAATATCGTTGGAGAAACTGAAATGTGCGCTGCATATGGTGCTTTCTACATAAAGAAACGCAGAGTCATATACGGTACCCTATCAATTTTTAGAGAAATACCCGTGTTTATTATCACTCAATGAAGCCATGAAGCCCAACACTCCAGCCCAGCCTCATACGCAGGATCAGGTATGAGCTTGACTTATAAAAAGTTTGCAGCGCTTCAGTCCCCTCACCAACCTGGTTCATGTTAATTCCTCCTGGCTATGTTGCTGTTCCTAGAAAGCGGCACAAAGGGCAGAAACCAGGTAAAAATCCACAAACGCGACAAGTAGCTCTGTGCCACAAGTAGGGTTCATAGAGGATCGCACATCACCTCCTCGCCCAATAGAGCATCCCATTCCTTCAAACTGTAGGTCTCCAGTCTTGGAGATTGGCATTTGCCGATTGTCTCAAAGCCTATTCCTTCGGCACCGATTACAGGCTTGTAATCTGCATTGACGACATTCGAAGATATATTGGCGGAGATAGTGGGAACATTCCTCGCAGGTATGAGGGCCAGGCACGAATTTCCATCTCTCATGACTGCATTCATGGTTCTCCAAAAGCTCATTGATGATCCTTGCGATTTCATTATTTATAGGGGCCTGAATTTCGGGCACCGTAACTTCTCCCTCAAGGTCGGGTGGAAGCTCATGAAGTTCTGGTTGGGCTTCATCAGTATCCGGCTGCGGCTCATCAATATCTGCGGGAGGGGCGATGATGGGAGGGTGTGCGTCTCGATCGAGTATTTGATGTGCGCGGGCAAGGAGGCGGTGCTCATTCCATTGTTCACAGGTACAAATCTTCCAACGCTCACCACAGTTGTAGCAGAATTGGGCACCACAATAGCAGCTATTTTTGTACTATTAGTTATTATCAACATTGGAGACAGGAAAAAACACGAACGTCATATGATTGCAACCGTGATCTAGCTCCACTACCCGCCAACATGCATAACACCGCTGCCATCCACTCTCCTGGGCAGTATTGAGGAGCTGCTGCAAAGCGGTATCATTAGGACAGTCACCCGTATGTGCCCGCCCCTTGCAGCTTGCACAAGTTGTGAACCCGCACTGGGGACAGGTGGCTACTTCTCCCTCTATATGACCTGGGTTGATGAAGGCAGAACAGCCAGGATAATAGCAGTACGTTCTGTTCGGGGTTTCGAACTCAATTTTCTTTGTCTCGTAGTGTTTCACGAGGTCAGATTTGAGGAATATGCGAGCAATGCTCATGATAATAGGCTGTTGGCAACAGCGCGGAGGGAACAGTGATTCGTCCGTCATTGACGCATTGAAAAGGTCTTCTAAACAGGAGCGACAATACTCATGGCCGCAGGGGACGCGTACCACATTCACGAAATCAGTATCTTCTCTGCACGCAACACAGCGGTGCAAGGAACGCGACGGGCGAATCCGCCCGGCAGCCCAAGTAGATGATTCGGCTGGCTCACTTTCTTCGGTGGTTGCGTCCACATCGTTGATGCCGTCGTCATGAGATACGTATAAGATGCGAAGTTTTTCCAAAGTCTCATCGTCGAGCGCTTCTGAATCCGCGTTCAATCGGGCATCTTCTGCAGGTCCCCCAATCTCTGTCCAGCGAAGGGCGATATCCCGGTCTTTGATTGCATTTTCCTCTTCAGCTAAGTTTTCATTCAGAATCCTTCCGTCAGCTAGAACCGCGGTTGCAAAGCTGCTAGCCATTCGCCTATCCAGGAGGCACTGGGAAGTGCTGTCAAACTCTTCATTTTGTAGCTGGAATGCGAACTCTTCATCAGTGGGCTCTCGAGAATTTCCTTTAGATGATTCAAAATAGAGGATGATATCTTCATGCTGCAGCTGAAGAATGAGATCCGCCGTATGTTGGTCGATTTCTGGTTCAAACACGCAGGCCATCATGGTTGACTGATCGAAGGCAGTTTTGTGGTTAGGTTCAAGGAAGGTAAGGCCGTGCGATAAGCTGCGCGGAAGTGAGGAAAGATTTCGCCATGTAAGCGTGTACAACACTGACTCCATCTTTGGGAGCTGGTCGGTTTCTTAAGGTTTTTTATTTCCTGCCATTCACACTGGGTTATCGCTAGGACGAGTAATGGGGGTTTTCCTATTTGTTTGCATATCCTGGTTTAGTTTGCAAGATTCTAGACCATCCTTTCTGAGGCATATGGCGGGAGCAATGAGAAATTGCGAAGGCGTCCGGATAGGCTGGCAGAAAAGAATCTTTTATAGTTTCACATGACTTGCTGTCTGGACATATTAGTGGCGATCTACGAGGCGATCGTTCCTCCTGAGGCACCTCGCAGCGCTTCTCGACGTAAAAACTGCTGTGGAACCATCATTGTCGTTCCCTTCCCATTGAAGATGACTTGAGACGAATTCAAACCCAAGGTCGTCATCACAATTCATCTAGGAAAATTAAGACGGGGTACTCCTAAGCATCTCCTTCTAAACCATTCCTGTTGGTCCTTAAAATCGACTTCCTTGCCTGCACCGTGATGCAAAACTCCCGAGGCGGATAGGAAGTTGGATACCTCAAAAGATTGTGCATTTTGAACCTGCCACCTTTGTATCCCCACCTTGCCTGGGCCGTCATACTTCAAACAGCGCGTTGGCTTATCACAGCAAGCCAAAGTCAAACAACAGCCATTGTTGGTTAACTCTGCTTGAATCAGGTTGCTTTGGAATGTGCTTGCGAGATAGCACAAATTTGTCAAACAATGGGAGCCAGCATTCAAGCCTATCAAATACTCATGCTTTTATGAAGTGTCTGGTGTACTGGCATAGTTCAATTTGGCTTAGTGCCTTCTCATATGTTGTACAGACATTTGATAGGCTTTAATGTGAACATTCTATTCTACATCTGCACATGCTTGTTTCAGACCAGATTGTGATAGCCACCCTAATCATGGGAAACATTATCCTTTGAAGAGAAAAAAGGATCAAATTAGGAATAGCTGGTGTATACCTGGCCTTTGTCATTGAGCTGAAGCCCCTCAGCCAGACAACCTGCTGACAACAGAGATACTCTTCCACTTATTTTGCTTGACAGTAGAGCTGCACCAATAAAGATTATTTGTTTAGTGGCTTGCATAATTTCCTACTTTTGCTCCTCAAAGTGGGAAACTGCTGTAGAAGAGGGACAATTTTTCCAGTGGTCTAACCATCAGTATTTAATATAAACCAATTGAGTGAGCATCACTATCAATTTTACTCACTGGAGAAAGTAAGTCAAGTACTAATTCAAGTTCATTATCACAATTCATCTAGAAACTAAAGATGAGACACTCTTAAGAATCTTTTCTAAACCATTCTTTCTAGAACCAGCTTTCTTGCCTGTGCTGTGTCTTACCCTCTACATCTCAACATATACATTGAATATTACTCAGAATGGCATTCTATGTTGTTTTCAAAGATTGTGTCAACAAGGCCACAATATATTCTTGTTGGTAATGTTAGCCTAGAATTGATGTTGCTCTTGTTACTCATTTATTGCACTTCAGGAGTCAAGCACACCCAAGAGTGACTGAATATAAAGGTGTCAAACATGAGAAACATCAATCTCTTGAAGAGGCACACAACACAATAAGATTGAGAGGAATTGTAAAATTTGAAGAAGACATCAGCCACACACATGAAAACAGAACAACATCAACAACCAAAAAGAAATATTATGTCATCTGTGGGGGCAGAACTACTGGGGTCTTCAATGTATGAAAGTAAGTTAGGATTTCAGCTGCTAAACCCTAAGCTGGTACATGCAACTGATGTGATATAGGAATGCAGAGAATGCATTTAAAAACACAACAGGGTGTTATAAGGATTTCAGTATCAAGCCAGAAGCTAAAGAGTTTATTAAATGCTGAAAAGATATTTACTCTGACACATGGAGATGGGTAATTAGGCAAGATTTAAAAAGAGGTTGGAAACCAGTGGATATGAATTTTAATACTGATTTATTTTTAGCTGAGGATGACTGTTCAATTGATGACAACAGCATGCTCAAAAGTTTGGAGCAATTGAGTCTTGTTGAGGCAAGTATGAAGGTCAACAAAGAGAATGGTGATGATTGTTAATGAAGCTAGATGTTAATTATTGAGATATCTAGAGATAACAGTAGCTATCAGATCATTTCCATCCACTTTAATGGTCTTCATTTACAATTTCTTCTTCTGTATGAGAACTAAAACCTCAAGCATGAGAAGATGCATTTCAAACCTGCAGATTTTAATGTGTAGAAATCAGACAGTTCAAAGAGATTGTGCATCTTGAGTCTTCTGAGTATGTTGGTCAGTCTGGCAAGATACAGCTCTCAATGCACTAAAGTCAATTATGAATCTGTGAAGTTCTTGAACCATCAACTATAGAGTTTCTGTTGATTATCACTGTGGCTGATCATCATGGTGGCTGAAGATTGTGACTGGGGTTGAAACTGATATATATATGTACTGTTCCACTTCAGTATAGAAGATAAGAACAAGAATAACAATCTCATACTCTTAGTCAGATTCAAACTGTTTGATGATATTGAATTATTATAGAAACTGTGTTCATTTCTGCAGAGTCTATGCTGTTTTATAACTGCAGAGAATTTTGACTAAGTGTTGTGAGATGAAATATAAGCTGTAACTTCTGAGCTATTCTAAATGTGATTACAGACTGACAGTGGCAATTCAATATTAAATCTTTCCATCATCAAGCAGAACTATTGCATCATCATATATTTTAATAATAGAAATTGTATAGCTTTTTTGAGTCTTACAGAATATCAACAATAATCTTCTTCTTTTCATAAGAAAACAGTATATGCTGAATAGTCTTGCAGAGTAGTTTGATGCATTCAAATTACAGAGAAAATTTAAATAAAATATTATTAAATCTGTTCACACTCATATCACTTCTTTTAATTCTTGTGATTTTTTTATAGCTTTCAGTATATCATTCTTTTAGCACACTGTCTTGAAGCAGCTTTTACTCTTCATGTGACTTCAGCTGTAATCTATTTAACTTCATTCATTCATGATGAGTGCACTGTCAGATCAACATATAGAAAAAAGACTCAAGATCATGATGATAGATATAATTAATATTGAGAAGAATTTCAATTATTATAAACTTTATTATATCTGTCTGATGTTATGTGCTGCTTTGTTCACTACTGATCTCTTTAATAAGATTGAGATTGATGAGCATGTCTGATATGCTGTTCATGTTATTAAAATTAATGATAATAATGTTATTCTCTGAGATGTCTTTATGCAGAATATTTCTGTTAAGATACAAAAACTGATGCATCTTTATTGCATCTTAAAGTGCTATAAGCAGCTTCAAGAGTGATTTATAATCATACATAAATCAGTCAGCAGGTGAGATCATCAAACAGTAAAGAATATAATTGTTGTACATTTTATTACCTTTATCAAAAAGATTCAGCATATGAACTAACTCAATAATAAAAGTTAGCTCACTCTTGAACTGTTGTGTTTTTAGCTGCTGGCTACTGAAATATAATTACTTGACTATATTGAGTCTGATGTTAAATGATCTGTATTTTCTGAATATCTTTCTGCTGACACTGAGTCTGTAAAGTTTAATGAGTGATTGAGATAGCTTACATCATAATTATGATTGTGCAAATAATAAGACTGTGCTGATGTTTCTGCTTTAAAAGATGTAAGAATTATTAAATATCAGATTACAGTATAGATCTGTAATATTGATGATGATGTGATATCTGATGACTCTTGCAATTCTCTGAACATCTTTTTAATTTATAAGCTGAAGAAGATTCACTTCTGACTGTTGCTTATTGAATATTTATAAGAATTTTGTCACACTCTATACTTTATTATTATTTTTTATGAGAAAACAGCTTGTCCTGCAACATATAATGATGTACTGAAAGCAGAGTGAAATAAAGTTAAGTCACAGCACTCTTTTCTCTGCAGTTCCAGCACTGTTAACAGTTATTATTCAGTTATCATTCTCATCTAGTATGATGAAAGTGTTGAGATTCAGCTCCTCATCATTCATCATCATATAATTTAGAACTAGCTGAAAAAAGTGTGATGCATTCTCATGAATGTTAAACACTTCAGAGCTGTAGAGCTCAGAGTAATTAAATATTCAGATCTTTATGTTGTTTCTGCAGACTGTAAAAATATACACAAATCAGTAAGTTGGCTGAATGATAAATACTTCACATATATAGCATGCAAGTTGAAGCAGTATGCTCTTTATTCAGATCTTGTCTGATGACTTTTTCAGTTTATCTATTATATAAATATTCTTTCAGTCATGTTTTTCTCTCAAATCACTTACATCTCAAATTTTTAGTAAAAGATCAATCTGCTATTCTGTCTTGAAGTCAACAAGATTCTTCTTACTTGTTGTTGAGAAGTAGATGCTGTGTGTGTCTGAGAGAAAGATATTCTGAAGTTAAAGTCATCAGTCAAGAACAGAGTTCTGCACTGATGAATTGAAGAATTTAACTCATTTACTATTGCTGTCAGATTCTAGAAGATGTTGATGAATGACATTCACTCTTGCACTTTAATTCTTTTCTTTAAAATATTTGATGAAAAAGCTGTTCACATCTCAAAAGATGCATCTGTATATCTTTTTAAATATTCTTTTTTTTATCAGTCAACATGTCTGCTCAGATTCTTTCTGTGATGATGATGTGAATCTCATCAGTGTGTCATTAAATGAGAAGAGAACACTCACAGAGAGGGTTTCTTGAGAGATGATGATAATGAGATCAAAGATAACTTTTCAGATGTTGGTGTTGATGATTTTTTAAATAATAAGTCAGATCAGCAGTTGATAGAAGTGATAATCATGATTGAAGCAGAACTGTTGAAGATGCTTGAACAAATCTGTCAGATTAGAGATTATGTTTT